AGCCAATTTGGCTGCTGCATCTCTGTGTTAGGTTTGAAGCTGCGAAACCCAGCTGTGTGAGGAGACGGTGGTGACTCAAAGGCTGCCTCTATAATCTTCTACTGAGGGCCTTGGCTTTAAAGTTTAGAGAAAAGTTGGATTTTTTGGAATGAATACGTAAGAGGAGAGGGCTGTGCTACAATGATTGTGTATGTATGGCACAAACCAAAGTAATTTTATCCTTGTGTACATCTAGAAATTGAATCATTTCTAAAACATGCAGCTCTCTAAGGCAGTTTTCTAATAGGGATGCAAGACAAAAATGGAGAGCTGTTAATTTACAGAAAGGGGTGGGGGGTTGGTCTGGGCTCTTTCACCCCCCTCCTCCTTTATTTTAGCAAATAAAACCTTTCAGGTACAAGAGTGGCCTCTCTAGAGCAGAGAGGTGCAAAAAACCCAAAGAAACAGATTTCTAAACCTGTTCTTCTTTTATGTTTACGGAAGGTGGGCTGGGTGCGCTGACAGGTCCTGGGCTGGCCAGTCTGCTTGGAAGTGGGGGACCTCCGACCAGCAGTTCATCATCAAGGTAGGATGCCTGTCTGCTCTGCCTTTGTACTGGTTTTGTAACATAAAGTTGCCACTTCTGTGGGAGGAATTGTGGCCTGAACAGGAAATACGATGGGAACTAAGACCGCTTGTTACCTCTCTAAACTGAGGTAGGAGCTCTTCATATTGTAAGGGCTTGAAAAGCTTCTTTTCAAAATGCAAGAGGTAGAGCTGGTTTTTGCAGTATAATTAGTTATGCTAATTATCTTCTCCAGCTCTCGCAGCCAATCAGCTGCTGTGACACCATCTTCCACGACTTCTTCTACACGTGTAACGCCTGCCCCGTCCGTTCCTGCGGCTGCATCTGTGACCAGTCCCAGCCCTGTACCAAGTTCGGGTAATGGAACCAGCTCAGCCACAAGCCCAACCCAGCCCATTCAATTGAGTGACCTTCAGAACATTTTAGCTACTATGAATGTGCCATCTGGAGCAGGAGGACAGCAAGGTAACAGTGTTCTGACCAGACAGCTGTCGGATCCAGGAGTCCCTTGAAGCTGTTTTACTGTCCTGTCCTGTCCTGTTCCAAATTGGTTTGAAAGGTCTCTTACTTTTGTTGTTGTTGTTGTTATTGTGTAGTTGTTTGTTGGTTTTTATTTGAGAGCTCTTCTTGGCTGCTTTAAGAGTCTTACTCTCGCTCCAAAACAGAGAGGGAAAAGGACTAGCAGTGTGCTAACTATGTTTCAGTACTCTGATTAGATCGTTTGGTTTACATGACAAAAACGTGGGGTTGTCTGCATAGTCTAACAGCCAACCATTCATTTTCTTCCTAGTTGACCTGGCAACTGTTCTGACTCCCGAGATAATGGCTCCCATCCTGGCCAACGCTGAAGTTCAAGAGCGGGTGATGCCTTACCTTCCCTCAGGGGAATCTCTGCCGCAGACTGCAGAAGAGATTCAGAACACCCTGACATCTCCTCAGTTTCAGCAGGTGGGTGCCTGGCTGTCAGGGCAAGCACAGTTCTCCTTCCCTCCTCCCCCGTGTGTCATGGTTCGCCTTGCCCAGCTTTTTCAGGTTCCTGGCACTGTTCAGAGTAGGAAGTTGCTCAGTAGAAGTGGAAAGGAGAAGGGACTCGACTTAATGGATCACTAGTTCCTTCTTCCTGCAGTCACCCAAGGGCAGATCAGAATGTTTGTTACTCTTTCTTTGGGAACTGGGCTTTACCTTTCTCTTTCTCTTTATTATAAGTGCTCTCTGGCAAATGACAGGAGTAGTAGCGAATTTGTTGTTCCCTGTCAAAGAGAGGTTTGTCAGCAGTCTCCTTAAAGGTCATTTCAAGTGACTGAAGAGAAATGATGCTCCTGTTCACAGCGCTACATCCCTTATTTCCCTTGAAACACTAGTACTTAATTCCAGGACTGGCTGTGTGTGATGGAAGCTGGTGTATTACAGGCCAGTTTGAATTAGTTACACTGATTGATGGAAATTTGTCAATTTGCAAAATTTCAGTGGCCAAAGTCTGTTGTTAGTTTAAACTATGGCAACTCTTTTGTGCAGACAAGACTCGGAAACAAGGGGGGTTTTAATTGGTGACTTTAAAACCACACGGCTGCTCCCAGGCCGGCCGTGTGCTCCCCATGCCGTGTGCAGGTACTGCACAGCAGCTACCTGGTGCTGGAGAAACATGATGCAAACATTTTTTTTTTTTTTTTTTTTTACACTGTTGACTCCACTTCACAGGCATTGAGCATGTTCAGTGCTGCCTTAGCTTCAGGACAGCTTGGCCCACTAATGAGTCAGTTTGGCTTACCCGCAGAGGCAGTAGATGCAGCAAATAAAGGAGGTAAGTGTTGGTGCTGTTGGGAACATGATGAAGTGGTTTGTTGGGATGTTGTGTTTGTGGTTTTTTTTTACTGCACACAGGCGTGGAATGTGTAGTGAGTAGCTGCTGATTAACTGTCAGATGCTGACTCTCAAACTGCTCTGGGCACAATGAAAAGACGAACAGCTCAGGTGTTGGCCAGCAGATGCAGTGTGTTGTCAGATGTGAGACTTTAGAGAACGCGGGGTTCTGCAAAGAGACGTGCTGAGCAGCCTTGGCCGTGATAGATATGCAAAAGACTCTGGAGATGTCCTAGTCACCTTGTTCAGAAATGATGTTTTTGTGGGAGTCTTTAATGATTCATCTGAAATAAGTGAAGGCAGTCAGGGCCTGTAGCACTGGAGGATGTCAGGGCATCAGTTTTCCCTAATGAGCTTTTCACATCTAATTCATGACTGAAGTAACTCTGGTCTTAGGGTGCCTGTGCATAAAATGCTATGTCAGAGAGCTCCAAGCGTGCGTTACATATTGACTGTTAAAATTTTCTTCCCTGCTAATAGATTCTTACTAAAGCACCTGTTTACTTTCCAAGTAATGAAGCTCAACCTCACATGGACAATGAACTCCATCCCAGAAAGTGCAAAGTTAAATAACTAATGTGTTTAACTTCTAGATGTAGAAGCGTTTGCCAAAGCAATGCAGAACAGTGTCAAGTCAGACCAAAAGGAAGGAGACTCTAAGGACAAGAAAGATGAAGAGGAAGACATGAGTTTAGATTAAGTTATCTGCTTTTCCTTACAGATATTCCTAGATACTAACTTAAGCAACTGCAGTAGGATTACTAACTTCATATTATGCTTATATAAATCTACAAATAAAGGAGTTTTATCTGCCGTACTGTTCTTTCTCAGTCTATTTAACATGCACACTTAAAGCAGTACCTGCTCTTTATTTTCAGTGGAGTTGCTCACTGTTCAGTTTTGATGTTCTTCACATCAGGCTAGTCTAATTCTTCTGATTGCCTTGTGATAGAAGGGTTGAGCCCTGCGACTGAGTAAGGTCGCACTGCTGACTGGAATCCAGCATCGGGCCCACCAGGTGCCATCTGCAGGGCTGCCAGCTCACCCAGTTATTGCCCCGCAAGTACTGCTGCAAGGGTTGTCCCGTCCCGGGTGCAGGACTTCACCTTTGAACACGAGGCAGGTTGCAGTCATGATCATCAGAGCACTACCTACCGCGGCTGCCGTAGGAGGAGGGAGCTGCTTATGGCAAATACAACTGTAATGTCCCTATTGTGCCACTTCCTGAGGTGGTGACTGCTTGTCTTCCAGTTCTACATCAGCCTCACAGTTGCTTTTCACCAGTAAAGTGAAAGAGAGTAACATAAAACTTTATTCGACTCCAAAGTATGTACCAGTGATTTACAAAGACCATCTTTAATACTACAACTTAAAAATAGGTCATAATTACATTTAAGATGGACATGTTAAAAACCCATTTTACAATATTTACCCCTCATAAAAAAACCCACAATATAATGATATAAGTTATAAGTCCATTTCAGAAGCAAGATTTTGTCCCCAAGTGGCTAGAGAGATATATATACACACACAAATATATATAGGACGTGTAAGTGCACAAGTGAACTAGATGTCTTGGGAGAAAACGGGGTTTTCAAGTGAAGACTGCACTACAACAGGCGTGAGTGAGGCTGAGCAGGAGAAAGCAACCGCTGGCAGGGTGGGTGAGGGCAAGGTGCCACCTCTCGCACCCAGCCAGACTCGGAGGTAAAAACCTTTCTCTGTTCCCTTTCAAGCAAGTTTCTTGCTTCACGCAACAGGACTTTTGTCAGTGTATCTACCAGCGCCGGATGCAACTGCAGAGAGTCAAGAGTGGCATCTGTGGTTTTCTGCTTTCCCTCGGCAGTTCTCCCAGCCTATTTTGTTCCTTTTTGTTCTGATTCTTATAAATTAATCTGACAAGAAGATGCTAATTCTGTGAACAGAATTTTGTCCAAGTTCCCCCTTGCAGAGCTCTGTGTAGCAGTGGCAGGTAAACTGAGACAGCCCTTGGGGGAGGGCTAAATGCGTCCTTGCTTATAAAAACACAAAAGTGATGGAATTAATCCAGTTTGTCCTAATTGCATTTATTATAAACCAGAAACTGCCTACAGCCTTTAGCAGAAGACAGTCTGTGACTGTTATTAATAGCCTCAAGTGTTCCGTGAACTAAATCTACGTGCGTTCTAAGTGTGGGGTAAAAGGAACAGGATTTGGGACATGATGCATGGCTGGTGTGTGCTTCAGCCCACGCTCTGCAGAGGACAGTTGCTCTTAACCACGAGCCGTGTGGCAGCACGAGTCCTGTGGCAGATGCTTGACCACTGGGGAAGGGCTCGGACCTGTCTCCACATCCTACTCCAACTTTTTGGTTATATTTGTGAAAGATGTCCCCAAAGTGCCCCTTCTCCCCACCTTCCTCCCCTGCCCTCCTTCCCCTTGGATTTGTGGCCCCTCTCTGGTTTTGGCCCCAGATTCGCATCTGCAGTCACTGGAGATCAAGTATGTTTGACCACGGTTAATGCTATCGAGGAGGTGGCGCCCGGGGAGCCGTGCAGCTGTCTGTCGGTCCGGCTGTACACGGAGCTGCACGCACTTACAGCACAGGGCAACCTTTGAGGCCGACAGAGCCCCTGACAGTCCCAGCTTGCAGCAGGTCCACGTGGCTCCGGTTAATCACCAAGTTCCTTATACAGCCCATGTAATGAGGGAGGGGCGGTGAGGGTGACATTGCGCTGGCCTTGGCTGTCGCTGCAGAAGGAACAAGAAAAAACCCAAGCATTAGCGTGGCTAACAACAGAGCAAGCGATTAAGTACTTCTTACTTGCACCAGGAATAGTATCTCTCTTGGCTTTGGGGTATTTCGTTCTGGAGAGCATCTTTCCCAACTCACCTGGTAGCCCTCCCACGTAGAAGGTTGCCCTTGTGCTGGGTGCAGGAGGCTGGCTGGGTCCCACTGTGTAGTTGCCCTCCGTGTCCACATCAACCTGGATTATGTTTTTCCATTTGGTGACTTCAAAAGAAAACAACAGTCAGTGCTGCTTCCTCATCCGGAGAGCACGTTCAGCTCTCGCCTCTAGCCCAGCCCAGTGCTGGAGCACAGCAAAACTACTGGGAGGGTCAGAGGACATGGCCTGGCTCTTGGGAAAAGAAACTCTCTCTCCTGCCCACCAGATCTGACAGCACTAACGAGACCAGGCAATGACTCTTACTAATTAGAAAATGACTTAACGACAGCTACGATCTCCAAAATTAAGTGCCTACAGGTGGGAGCTGGGGTTTAAATACCCAAGGAGGGGGCCCAGGCTCCCCCCAGGAGACGTAGGCTCAGCAGCAGGAGTGAAGCAGCATTCAGAGCCACTGCTGGTGTCACCTCACCTGCGATGGTGTGCCACTGCCCGTCGCAGAGAGATGGGCATGTCACCGCTGCAGAGAACTCGTCAGCCCCAGCGTTTGCTCTCACAGTGACCTGGTGTGGGAGACAAACCATTAGAGCCCAGTGAGCTGAGCGGGACAGGCAGGAGATGGCCGTTGCCTATGAAAATCTGCAGGGAAGCCACCCTCCCACTACCTTTGTCTCCTCCATGTACAGCATGAGATGGTGGCTTCTTCTCGTGCCAATGTGGAAGATGATGCCAGAGGCACTGCGGGGACGGACCTCCAGTGTCACCTCCAAGTCCTGCTCCGTCACCACCGCATCAGCTGGAAGAGAAATGCCACTGGTGAGGAGAGGAACAAGGGATCTCCCATGAGACGTGTTCTTCACGGTCCCAGGGCCATGGGAGCCAGCCCAGGCTGCTGTGGGGTACCCAGGATGATGGACCCGCCGTCTGCAGCAAAGAAGACCCCACTCTCCAGAGCGCCCTCATAGCATGGTGTCACCCCGAAGGTGCGTGAGGGGGGACCCAGGGGCCTCCCGTCCAGCTGTGGGTTCCTCAGGCAGCCATCAAAGCTGGAGATTGATGCAACCTGCAGAGAGAAGCCACAGGAGTGAGTGCAGAGGGGCCAAAAACTGGCAGGCCCGAACAGGGTGATGCCATGGGACTGGGAACTGGCAGAGATACGGTGATGCCACAGGATCACCAAGCCCTTACCGGTATGTGAGCCTTGGCTTTTCCAGCTGGGACCCCCCCAACATACAAGGGGGTCCGGGCCACAAAGAGCCCTGCGGTGGCCACTGCAACCCCCCGGGCTCGTAGCCCATCGATGACCAGCTGAGCTCGGCTTTGGTCTCTGCTGAAGAAGACCTGCAAGGACCAAAGGTCAGTGCCAGTGCTGGGGGCTTCCTGGGTTGGGAGGAGCCTGCGGGTGTCCCATGTGCAATTAGGAAGCGATGCCTGGAGCAGGGCTGCACCAAGTGAAGCCCTGCACAGGCACCCGGTGATGGGCTCATGGGAGCACTGCGGCTTGAGGAGGTCCTGCTGAGCCCCGACCCTCTGCTCACCGTGTGCCACCGCCGGTCACGGTACTTGTCTTTGCTGCGGATGCGCAGCCGGCGCCCACCGACATCCACCAGGAAGACAAAACGCCCATTGGAGATGAAGAGAGCCATGAAGGTGCCCCGCTCGCCCGCCACATAGAAGAGCAGCCCACTGGAGGAGTTCAGCTTCACCTCCAGGGAGAAGTGGGACCTGCAGGGACAGGGGGGGGTGACGGGAGCACCCTGCTCTCCCACAACTGCCAGGGGCACCTGCTCTCCAAGTGATGGGGTGGGGTGGGCACAGGGGAAGCCTCACCTCTGGCCAAAGGAGGCCGGGATCTCCTCAAACTCCCAGCGACTGCTTGAGGCACCCCCGAAGCGGAAGGTGCCCGCAGCTGTGCGGGGCCATGGGTGCAGCTGGCAGAGCCCATCCCGATCGTGGCGGCGGTCCTTCGAGGCAGGCTTGCCTGGCACCTACATGAGATTCACCAAGGAATGGAGTGAGGAGAGCATCCTTGCACGTGTCACGGGGCAGACGTGCTCAGCGAGGGGGCAACGGTGGCATCCGAGGAGGAAGAGGAGGAGGATGTGGAGAGTTTTGGCAGCAGCTGATACCTTGGGTTTCCTCCTGTCCTTCTTCAGAGTGACTCTGAGCTGCTGCGGCTGCTCGCCCCAGGGACAGCTCATGGTGACGTTGATGCTCTCCACGTTCTGCTGCAGGTCCACCACCATCTGTGGCTCTGACATCCTACACACAGAGAGAGGAGGTGTCTGTCACCGGGCCAGCCAGGAGGCAGGAAGGGGCTGAGCCCTGCGCTCTGGGAAGGGGCACGGCGATGCTCACCGCTTGACGAAGACGTTCCCGATGCAGCCGGTGAGGTTGCCGAGCGCGCTCG